TTTGGACTCTGTCAGATGATTCATCTAAAGCAAGAAAAGAGAAGAGTTGTCTGTGCTGTTGAGATTAAAATCTCAGTTTGCCCCTCGCTGGGTCCCCGTGCTTGTTGGAGTTGTGCTGTGCCATTTCTTCCAAATCAATCTGTTATCTGTCACCGTTGCAATCTTTCCCTGTAGAAGCCAGTTTCTCRTRAAACCTCGTCTCTTGCTGGCTATCCTTTCTGGTCTGCCTTTYGTTATTGATGTCACCTCCCTCCATTTGGATCGTATCTCCGTTTCAGCCATTCGCAGCAGTAGAACCCACATTTCTTCTCTTGCCACCTCGGTACCCTCGATTGTCTTGGCGCATCTCCTTTTCCAGATTACCCACAGMGCTAGTTTCCTGAGCATGTGGAACCAGACTGCTTKTCCGCCTCTGAGACTGTCGRGGATGTTAGAAAGGAGTAGGATGTTCTGTGGGGTGAGGATGGGGGGAGRGGATGAGAAGAGATGSTGCCATAGAATTCGRATTYTGTTCCATATCCRGGCGGCCTGGCTGCAGTGTMAGAGGCAATGGGGGATGTCTTCAGGGACGYTGTCACCRCACATTACRCAKAGTTCCGAGYTGTCGGGGTCCGAGTGTTTTCTTCTTTTGTGGAGCCATTCGTTGACAGGGAGTGCTGCGTGGGCTAGGAGCCATTGTAAGCTTCGGATTCTAGCTGGCCTGATGGGAAGGTATTTAGTCCAGGGGATGGATATTGAGGCTGTTGGCTCTAGGTTCAGTGTCTCTCTCCATCTGTTTTCCAGTTTGGGGTTGGGGTCCGTGGTCAGTAGGCCTAGGTTGTACCCGAATTTTACATCGTATTCCATTATTGTTCTAGTTTTTTCGGATCTGCCTTGTTTCCATATCCACTCCTTAGGGTCGAATTCGAGCTCTGCTATGCTGAGGTTAGGCTGGAAGATTATCCATGGTTTGGTTTTGGATACCCTCACTTTTCTCAGACGGAAGGACTCTATCGTCTCTATCTGAGGTTCTCTGTTGAGGATGGTTAGTTCGTGGAGGTTGAGATTGGCTATGGGATAGGAATAGAATTTGGAGAAGTAGCCAGTGGGTAGCGTGCGGGATACGAACCGGTATGCTCTGTTCGGCGAAGTTCGGGATATGGGTATACCCCAGTCCCCTGGTTTCCAGGAGAAGTCATCTTTCAAGAGGTGAAGCCAATGGGGTGGGATGCTTTTCTGGATTATACTTATGTTGTCTGCGAGAGCATGACAGCCTTTCAGGGTGTTCCGGAGTTCTTGTTCCGTTCGCCATTCTCCTCGTT